GATATATGATCCCTGCGTCGAGGAGATAAACAAATACATCATCAGAAAAGCTGTTGTTAAGCACAAGTCAATACAAGTGATAATAAGATTGATGCAAACCTGTCTCCGCCGTCAATCGCAGGTGAAGTTTCCCACAACACCTCTTCCATGGTTTTCCCTGTTATATCGTCCAGAGGCATTACTTTATTTGCCTGCATCGAGAGCTTCTCAATTCCAGCAGTGGCTAGTTTCTGAAGTATCTCCATGATACCAGAGCCCATCTCAGCAGGCACCACAACTGGAGTCGACACTTGCATGATCAAGCTGCCTCCTGCTTTAGAGTTCCTGAACAGCGAGGGATTCATTGACCGCAGGAACCCTCCATTCTTTGTCTGTACAACTGGACCCAGGCCATCTCCAAGGGGAGGCAAATCAAACGGCTCCTTTGTTGGAAATACATCTGGATGGAAAGCATTAGGGCTATTGTGAGGCGGAGAGTTCTGAAATGTGTTTTCATTCATACCCCACTCACGCATTAGAGATTCCGTTTCCAAGCCTTCCAACATTGTGGCCCTGGGTACGCTGACTCTTGCTTGAGCTTCCAACTGGTACTCTTCTTCTATATCGTGAACAAGGGATGCCAGATCGAACCCTTCTTCAAAATCTGATTCATACTCATTCGTAAAGTTTTCATCACATTCCATTTGGGGATCATCAGCTTCAACACTAAAATCAAACAAAGAACCGGCAGCTAGAGTTTCCATCTCAAATTCTCTCAACAGACGCTCCCTTGGGGACTCAGGTTCACTCTCAAAACTTTGACCAAAAGGGCTGTGTGCAATACCTAGCATGTCTAAGAACTCACTTGCCACAGATTCATCCACATCAATAGAACTCGATGCTGCTTCCTTAGTTGGTGTTATTAAAAATGTTTCTGCGTTTCCATGGTTTTCTTGATCGTCCTCGTCATCTGACGCTGTTGCGTCCAACATTTCTACACTTTTCAAAGCTGATTCAAGATCTCTCAATATTGTTTCTTTCAAATCTTTCTCACCGTTCATTACCTCTACGTCATACCGAGGAACAAGAGTTTCCTCGTCTTTTGGAGAAACTTTGTTCCCCTCTTCTGCAGGCAAAATTTCTGTACCAAGTTCCAGTTCCTCACCACCAGCAATAGAAACTTCACTACCTTTCTTTAAATCCCCAAAAGGAACATCAGTTTCATTCCCGTTTACCAAAGACTCTTCTGGAAAATGTTCTGTACCAACTTCCCCACTTGCAGCAGGAGGAACTTCGTCTGTCCTCTTTATTTCCTCAGCAGGAACATCAATTCTATTCCCATTCACCAAAGACTCTCCACTTTGATGTGCATTTGCACCTTCGTTTTCACGAGAAATTGACTCAACGGGTTCAATGTGTTTAGTGACAACGTCAAATTCGGAAAGAGACTCAGCTGCTGGATCCACCTTCTCCTCATCAAGTTTTTTATACAGAATGTTTACAGAACTGACCAGGTCCGATTGTGCAACAGGCAAAATTTCATGGAGATCTTTGATTTCCTCCACATTCTGGGACAAAGAATGAGACCCTCTGTTAGCATTACTGTGATCGAAACGCCGAGACACAGACTTTCCATTCCCTACAATAGACTTTGCACTAGCAGTTCTTGTCAACCCTGTGCTATTACTCGTCTGTTTTGCATTCGAAGCATTGCGAGCATTCTGAATGCTACCTGAAGTAGCAGGATTACGAGTATCCCCAACAACAGTGTACCCAAAACTTATGCTCAGAGTAGCACCGCTAGCTTTACCAGTCAACTGAAACGTTGTTGACCACTTACCGGAGCTCTTCTCATCTTGCAACTCCTCAAGAGTGAGAGGAAGCAGTTTAGTGAGATCCATTCGGTGTTTTCCCAGATCAACCTCAGGAGATCCAACCAGAGAGACGTACAGCAAGAAATGCTTAGCTTCATACTTAGCTGAGTGATGCTGCCCACTTCGGCTTCCGTAAACCGAGCATGTATGTGTCAGCTTGTCCTTGAAATCAGCTCTTCCGTTCAAAACTTTCGCAGGACGAGTGGTTAAAGATTCATCACGGCGTTTCCAGTGCACAGTGAGATAAAGATCCTGGAATATAGGAGGCAGACCTTCAACGGAATGGACTTGGGCAGAGAAACAGCAATTGAACCGGCGGTTTCGGACGTGTGAAAGGGCTCTGAGAGGCCAGTTCCAAAACGATTTTTTCTCCTTCTGCGGCTCAGCCAAGTGGGTACGACCCAACGGTTTTGTTGGAGTGGTGCTAGGACCAGCGACTGACCCCCTAGGATTCTTGTTCACGTAGAGAGCTTCGCTAATCGTCTCAACCTCCTTCAACAGTTTACGGCCACTAGAAGATTCCTCACTGTTAACTTTACTCATCCCGTACTTTGAAAAGACTGAGAACCTACCAGCGAGTTTGTCAGGAATTAAGCAAAGCCCAAGAAGATCAAATGAACACCTGCAAGAAAAATAAAAAGAAAAACTGTGAGTGAGAACAAACATCCAACCATTGACAATAACAAGAAGGGATAAACCAAATACAAAGCATGATAAGTAATAAAGAGGAATTCAAACAAAAAATAGAATTCAAAAGAATGCTGAATTTGAAACCCTAGAGCAAGAAAATTGGGATCAGGAGGACATAGGATTCACAAGGGAGGTATTGAGGATTAATTCTGAAATGAGTCTACACCTAAAAGATGAAAAGAAACTGCCATAGACCTACAAACTAAGTGTCGCAATCTAGCTAATTTAAAGCAACAGCAGTTTTCAACGAAAATGATAGGAATCGTCCTCCTCTCACATATAACTCTACTGTAGCTGTGACTTGTAAAAAATCACTTGCGAGAAGGGAGATAGAGATGTGAGCTTTGCAACAAGCTCGATGAGCTCCAATGACCAAAAATCTCTCAAGGAATAATCCACGATTTAAGAGAAACTTAAAATGATGATTACATAACGAAATTTTACACTGCGCATCATGCAAAACAGATCCAATTCCTATCGGTGTTAATTTGGCCACAAAAATTGTTGGACGAAGCAACCCAACACCACGGGCAAAAAAAACAAAAATCCACGAAGAAACTGAAGGATGAGAAATGAAGAATTGGAACTAACCAGCGTGTGTGGGCAACTATGGAAAAGTCGTCTGTGTGGAAGCTTACAAGGAGAGAAAATGGTGGAGGGGCGCGTCGGAGGAGACGAAGTAGACAAGGAAGAATCCCCTTTGTCTTATTTCATTCTTTTTACTTTTTTTTAATTCTTCTTATTGTTAGTTTGATTTCAAAAACTTTTTAATAATAACCTTCAAGTACTTTATACTTCACTATTTCATACAATCTGCCTAGTATGTTATTTTAGTGATTTTATAACCCTCGTGTTCATTACCTTTTGACCAGATTTCCAATAATTCGAATCAAATCCAATTAAATTGGGATTAATTTAGCCATAGGCTATTTTACTTACAGAAAGTACAAGCATTATCTGAGTTAGCCTTTTTGAGGCAAGAGACTGAAGTTTATTAGAGGTGATGTTATAAGAGTGATGAGAAATGGTTGGTAAGTCATTCAGCGTACAAGGTCATATTGTACGAAATGTGTAAAATGGGCATTTGAACTAATTACAACATTGTGGATCTAATGTCTGTGTTTATCATACCAAACATGCCAACTATTCTCTACACATTTTCCGACCCACAAGATAAATGGTTCTCCAAGTCTGTCATGTGTTATTCAGTTTTTACTCTTTACGCCAACTACCTCATTTTTATTGTGCAATGTTTGAAGATCATCGTCAGAGTCTCAGGTTCCGGAAATTCCAGTATATAATTCAAGTAATATCTAGTAGTTGACCTCCAATTTAACAGTTTAATCAACAAAATAAATAGAGATATACAACAAATAATTAAAAACAAATTACAGAATAACCAAAGTTTCAAATCAGTTCTCCATAATATCAAACCGACTTCTGTTACCTCCTCTTGTTCTTGCTGCCCAAAAGCAGAGTAAAGTAGAACAAGATCCGAAAGAAGAAACCCCAAGCGACCGTGACCCACAAGCAATTCCATTTGCTGAGATCCGTAACGCCTTGCTGCTGCAAAATGTCGTATCCTGTGGTCAAGCACGTGGAGCTAGTGATCCTCATCCCAAGTGACTTGCTCATCGTCGCCAGAAGCCTAACTTTCATCCCGTGAGGCACTGCCACGAGAGGTGTGTTGTCGAATATCTGAACTCCTTTGACGAAACACTTCGTCGGGTCGCTGAACTCGTTGATGAGAACAGCCTCGTAAGGGTACTTGACTAAAGAAATGTAATGGAACCATATCCAGTACGAAGGGATCCGATCTCGGTTGATGAAGAAGCCACTGAAAAGCAAGAAATAGGCCAAGATGGCTACCACAATGGTGTAACCGAGCATCACATGTGGGACAACGCCTGATAAGAAAGTCACGAACGAGCTCCCCGCCCAGAAAGCTGCTAAGATCACTAAGAAGTAGAAGAGAAACCCCATAGGACCTCCATCTAACCCCACTCCCCAAAACGTGCTCGCTGCGAAGGCAAGCGAAAGGATGACTAAAGAAGGCAAGGCCACGAGAGAGTGAGAGAGTACATAGGAGGATCTTCTGTATGCGTTGTAAGCGGTTTCTCTCATGAAAATGAAGCGTTCTTGGAGGAAAACTGGTAGAGCGTCTGCGCAAGTGTAGAACGTCGTGGACATTGCGAAGGCGAAGAAACCGAGACGTTCTTGGACTCCTTTAGGAGAGCTATCCAGCTGCCAAAACATGGTGGCTAAGATGAATCCGGTGACTAGCACAGCTCCGAGTCGTATCCCGAACAGCTCTGGCTGTCTCCGGTAATTAGTCATGGACCGTTTGGATAGAACCAAAAGTTCGACCCAAAACGGGTTTGCGAATGTTGGAATGGTGGAAACAGGAGTGTTAGTAGCAGTCGTCGTCGTTGCTCCGGAGACGAGCTTTCCTTTGGAGATGCTTGCGCTGATGGCTTCTTTTAGAGAGAGACCAGTCTGAGGCGTTATCGGCTCTGCTTTCCTCTGTCTAAACCCTTTGTTGAATTCAACTAAACTTCTCGTTCCACCGGCGGATCCTTCGAGCTCTCGGATCAAATCCAAGGCGAACTCGGTGCGGTTCTCGTGTTCGGGAATCGGGTGGCCAAACTCGGTGAAGAAGTGTGGTAGCATCTCCGGTGATCCGCTGAAGACGGTTTGGCCTCGGGATAAGAAGAGGAGACGATCGAGTAATCGGAGGAGACGGTAACTCGGTTGGTGAAGAGTCATGATCACCATGCTTCCGCTCTGTGCGATTCGTTTGAGGACTTTGATGACACTGAGTGCGCTCGTGGAGTCGAGGCCCGAGGTTGGTTCGTCGAGGAAAAGTAGAATCGGGTCGTGGATGATATCGATTCCGATCGAAACTCTCCGCCGCTCTCCCCCGGAAATTCCACGGTGGCCTTCGTCTCCGATTATCGTTTTCGCGGCGTTTCGGATTCCTAATTTTTCGATTAAGGCTTGGACGCGGAGTTTCTTCTTCGATTTGGAGAGGCTCCTGGGGAGACGAAACTCCGCGGCGAACATTAGAGTCTCTTCGACTGTGAGCATCGGGAAGAGAAGATCGTCCTGCATCACGTAAGCTGAGATCGCTTTCTGCATTTTGGAATTGAGAACTTCGCCGTTTAGAGTTACGTTTCACTTTTTGAAAAAAGATTGCTCTGTAGAAGGGAAATCATCGAGGTAGGTTTTGCCCCTATATGAACGTCACTTTTTGATTCCTTCTGCCCGAGACAAAGCTGAGCTGTCAAATAAGACCAACAAGGGATAAGATAGGGAGGCTCCTCTAAAGAGCTGGAACAAAGATGTTGGAGAGTCCCATCTTGCCAATGAGATGATGAAATTGTGTTGGAAAGAGCGGCTTAGTCAATACATCAGCCAATTGATGTTCAGTCTTGATATGTCAAAGTTGAGTTCCGCTATTACTCACGTTAGCAGAGGTGAGGTCCTTCTGAGCTATCTCTGTTCTTTCTGGAGAGAGGGAAGGAGTATCCCTTAGCTGTTTCCTTCATTCCTCATCTGTAGGGAACGAAGAACCGTATGTTCGAGTGAACGGCTAAGCCTCTAAGGTCTGTCATTAGAGAATCTATCAATATCTCTTCTTATTGTTCTGAATAGTATGAATAGGGGAGGTTCCCTTAGGTCTATTCCTCTTATCTCATAGGCTGTTAAGGGAAGGCCATTGTAGTGAAGGAGGGCATCTAGCGGCTAGGCACCTAAGGGCTGGCATTTAGAGAATCTCCTCTTCTTCTTATCTCTGGTATGGATAGAGAGTAGTAAGACTGTGCCTTGTTCCTCTGATCTCATCTGTAGGGAATAGATGGAGTACCGAGTAAGACGTAGGCGGGGACGCCATCTGTTACCGGCTAAGGTATAAACGGAGGCGTTTCAGTGGTTAAGCTGGTATCCGAGTTCCTGTTGTGTTAAGCATGAGACTGTCCTCACAGCCAATTCTTCTTCAATTGCAGAAGCCATTCTAACAACCTATTCATATGCGGGGGATTCTGTCAAAGATCCTACAACAGGGGATTCTATGCCATCAAGACAGCCAGCCTGGTATTCCAAGTCAAAGCAAAGAAAAAGATATTGACTGGGCAAGGAAGTTTGTTAGCCAGGTTAGATCTATTAGATTGGGATGTTCTTAGCGGATATCAAAGGTGCAATCCATAAATAGCATGTGTTAAGCATGGAGAGTAGATTCATTTCACCGATACTTCGATCACTTATCAATAGCCCCGGAGAGTGCTTTTCTATTCTTCCCCTTATTCGCTACGTATTCCTTTCACTGAGAAAGCTCCATCGCTCCTAATATAATACTACGACAAGGCTCGCTTATGGCTCGCTCCCGCGGCTCTAGTAGTCCATTTGATTCAGAATTCTTCTTTCTTTTTGTTGATGGTGCGTTGGAAGGGACGAAAGGAGCTAGTGAGCAATGACATCCGCGCGGGGAATAGGCTTGCTTCTTCCTAGCGATCGGGCGGTCCTTCCTCTTCCTGTTCACCGCCGGTTCGCCCACTGCTGCTTTCATAGATGTCGTGCGAAGGGGTTCCTCCGCTAATGGATGCCTATTCCGTTCTCCTGCTCCTGCTCCAGCTCAAGAGTTCAAACGGACAGAAGAGAGTCCTGCTACCGAAAAAAAAGTGCATAATATTGGATTCAAACAAAGGGGATTTATTCACGAATACGATTTCTATTGATTGAAAGCTTTCCTATTACTGATGGCAGGCGGGCGAGACGGAGACCGCCGAAGAAGTGCCTTGACGCGCCGCAGCCACTACTTTGACTCCTTTTATGCAATTATGAACTCCACGGAACTTTCTCGATTCCAACGCAACTTATCCTTTTGGAGCTGACGTAACAAACTAGGCGAGCCTCCCAACGAAGCCAACATAAATCCTATCCGAATCAAAAAAATAAAAGGCAGTTTCATTATGGTGGTATACCAACCTCCTGTTCTGGAACTTCCAGTTCCAATCGAAGCATATAGATCCGTAAATAGATTTGTATGTATAGCCACTTCAGCCGTGCTCGTCCTTTCTCGAAAGTATCTTTTTTCTGGGAACATGGTTAACCAAAAATGATTCTGTTTGCGATTCTTCATCCACCAATGCAGAAAATGCTCAAGTTTTCCATTCTTATATGAGGCCGGAAAGTTGATTAGCAAGAGGTCGGCATGAAGTGATTCATCATGCTCAAACACGAGCCGATCGTTCGTTAGGGACGGTTTATAGATCATCAAATTCCCACAAATGGAATGAGAAGTGGGTCCATGTAAATGATCGAGACCTCGCAAACAACAACGCTCCTTCCCCATATGGAGTTCGGAACCCAAAGGCAATCGTTGAGTGAACTGTATCTTCTTTGTGTTAGTTGACCTAAGCCGCACCATTACTGCTGGGGTGGGGCTCGGCCTCCGAACCGTACGTGGGACGAGTTTCTGCCTCATACAGCTCGGGCCGAAGACCGGGGGAAGTTTAGGAGAGATGGGGAGACCCAGCAGCTGCCGGTCGGGGCGGGGGTAAGCTTGTGAAGAAGCGAGCTTATCCCCCCCAAAAAACCAATCCTATAGCGCTAGCGCTTCGCGTTCTTTCTATTTGATCTCATTTCATTCCGGGATAGGCGGCTAATACTAATATAATAAGTGAAGTAGTCGTCGTCTGACCAATTGACTCGGACACCAGACCGCTCGTGCCCGCCCATTCTGTCTCGCCCTAAATGGAATGGCTCTCTTAGTTACGCTGCACCCCGCGACCCGAGTCCCCACGTCCGCTCTTCTCCGCCCGCAACCTAAGAAGTTGGCTTTGCCAACACAACATTAGGGCCGTCCCCTTCATTCTATGCTGACCCCGGCCCGGGGCTGGCTTTTTGGGAAGCCCGTTCCCACCGCGCTCATGGCCCGGCTGGCCTGCCAGCGGTAGTGGGAATTATCCCGTTCCCTGGTCAAAGACTTGGTTGGATGCGGGATCTACTCCACGAGGAGCGGTACGGACGTAGATGATATCATCACGACCTCTCTTTTCGTACCGCTAGGGATGCTTAACGCCACTTCGCCAACTAGCGTTACCCGCGCTTTCGTGTCTCTCAGTGTGGTCAGCACTGGGTGTTTCCGAGCAGCGAAGCTTACACCCATTCGCATTAGTTCATCCAAAGTTCCTTACCCTTATGCACGAATTTTTGAATAAGCCATCTTCCTATCAAGGTTAAGGAGTCAACTGAGCATCTCAGCGGCGGGATTGAATACCCGGATCGAATCAGAGTTCACGCCGCCCGCCCTGAACAAATAGGAGGCGTGGGCCACAGGTCGCACATAAGCCGCCGGGTCGCACGACAGAAGAACACCCAACATACAGATGCACACTCCTCCATGTGAAATATTCATCTTCATTGGAACCTTTTGGTAGTAGTCGTGACCAACAGCCATAGCCATCAGCTGTCGGCTCCTTGGTAAGGCGAGAGCTTCAAGCCCGATTTCCGGTGGCACGCCCCCCACACAAGCACCACCCAACTCAGGGGGGACGGGGAAAGCTAGAGGCCCAAAACCTTCGCCCCTTCTTTCGAAATCTAAATGGGGGTGCCCGGAGCACCTCATCTTGTCATTTCGTCGTTGCTCATTCCCGTTCGGCCGAAGTGTTTGGCTTTTCCTTCTCCGCGCCCGCTCACGCTTCGCTGACCTATCGCGTGCTAAAAAGAGGAAAGTACGAAAGAATAGTAAACAGAGCACACCGCAGAAAGATTCTAAATATGAGAAGTCCCCCTTGGATTCGAGAAGACGGAAATGAAGAACGGGAACGAAAAAAAAGAAGGCCTTTCTAGCTCTAGTTTCGGATGAGCTTCTCCCAATTATGTCTGGTAATAGAATGGGGCGACTTGCTCTGACCAAGACTCCACTTTTTGCTCCGTCCATGGAGCGTATGATTTTCCTGGAATGTAGATAGACCAAAAGAGGGAATAAAGAGATAGGAATAGGAATTATAGTACCATTGGAAGAAGGGGCACCCGTGGGAACATCTCTACTGACGAACCATTTCAATAGTACGGGTGCTGCCGTGCCACAAGGCACGACCATAAAAAGAATAAAAAAGAAAAAGTTATGTAGTTGGACCATCTGCTCTATCCGTTCGAGTTTGGCTTCTCTAAAGAAGAGAAGGCGCTCAAAATGAAAATGTTCGCAAGGCATACCGAAAGGATACCAATGAAGCCGACCATTAATGACTAGTTCGAACACCAGGAGCGGAAGGAGGGACTTGAACCCTCAACCTTAGCCTTGGCAAGGCTATGCTCTACCATTAAGCTATTTCCGCCAGCTACGGTAGTGGCGAAGCACTACTGAGCAATTCACGTATTACTTGATACGGACGACTTCCGTTTTTCCGCCGGACCACGCTCTTGACCTCCGATCGAGCTACGAGCACGAGTAGGTAGGCGGCTAGGGGGGGCGGCCGGGAAGCAAGGTTTTTTTTCCCTCTTTTTTGCTTCGCGCCAGATGAGATGATGATTAGTGGGTAAGGTCCAGTGTGTGCTCTTGATCACAATCACTAAAGAGGCGGGCTGGCTGGGCGGCTGCCTTTTCAATCAATCTCCGGCCGCTCAGCGCCGCTATTGGAGTTGTAAGGAGTGAAGGTCTCGAGTCGAGCTGGGGCCTCATTTCATTCTCGTAACGTGCACCACAAGACCAGACAGACAAGTGACTCTCTCGCCTCGCAGCTAGGCATCTGTCTTTTTTTTTGAAGTTGAGTCATTTCCTTTCCTAAGACGGCTCTTCTTATTCTACGATAATCCAAGCAGCAGCTGCCCGAGTCCGCTCGGAACCAGTCGATTCCTGAGCCATTCGTTCTCCAGTGACTCAACTTCAAGAACCGCTGATTTGTACTATCTCTTCTTCCGCCTCTTGTCTTTCAAACATCCAAGTTGCCACTTTTCAGCTACTTGGAATGCATGAGACCCCTGCATTTAGGAATCTTAGGTTACCTCCAGCCTTCTGAAGCGAGTTGACCTTCTGTTTGTTGACCTTATATCTGTCTACCTTATATAATAATGAATATGAAAGGAAAGCACTAACTCCCGAGCTTGGGCAAAGTTGGCTAATCGATTTAGACTATTATAATAGAATAATCAATCCGCGACTTGGGAAACCCTTTCTTCATTCGTTTGGCGGGAAAGGAGAAACCATTTCTTCATTCATTGGCGAGAAAGCATTTCGTGCCTTCGTCCTAGGCTCGGCTACTTCTTTCTCAAATAAGACAAAGATTGCACTAGACCTTGAGCCCGGGAAGACCGCTACTAGCCCTTTACTCTATTGGATTGATTTGGTCTCCCCCTTTCCTGGTGAGAGAAAGCCAACCCCAGCTAGATGGAATATCATACCATTATTCTGATGATTCTATTCTGCATTCTCCGTTCAAAACCGTCTACTCTATAACTAAAGAAAGAAGGAACAGTAGATAGTACACTGTGCTTCTAGAAGACATTCTTAGCCCCATTTCTTGGGTGACCAGATTTTAGTCCTTGCCTTCGAACCAAGGGCTTTTTTCTCCATTTTCAATGTTTCACTCGTTTCACTCACCTTATTCAACTGTCTTGCATGGTATTTTGGGAGGACCTTTTTTTTCTTCCAATAAGACTATTGGGGCCTATTAATAAACACTCCCTGGGGACCCCCAGGCTCTGGATGACAAAGCAGCAAGGACCTTCCATCAACAAATCTGGTCAGGCCAACAGCCAACAAGGGGAACAATCGAGGAAACAAACGCTACGAAACCTTTACCTGAACACTTGCTAAATGCTACACGGGCTCATCAAAAAACTCAACTTCATGATTGATTGGTGAGATCTTTCTCAGTACAATCTAATCTGCCTCGATAGAACAGAACCTCCCTATCCTCTAGGTCGAGTAGCTTGTAAGGGGTGTCTGCCGTGCTAGCATGTATTCCCTTCGTTTATCCGTAAATGGTATTAGTGTTGCTGTATGAATCCCAGGGGTCTTTATTCCCAAGTGTAGAGAGCGAAGGCCAAGCAGGTTGGTGTAGTCTAAGTTGGTCAGATTCCTGTAACAGGATGGGAGTATTGGAGTAAGAGAAGCTGTGCCCAACGGGGGCTCATCAAACTCTTTTTCAAGTGGCGTACCTCAACCAATCAGCTTTCAGTGGTAACAATCAGACAGCATGGGCATACTCATCACTTTCGGGAGGGCTATCTTACTCTTCTTTACCGGCCACTCTACCGTTATTCTTTGACTTGAGACATTGTCATTCTTTGACTTGAAATCGAGGCTACTCTTAGCTTGAAATAAACTTGAGAAAAACTTGAAATAGAGTATATCGCTACTTTTGGATACAATTGGTAGCTTCATCATTCCTTCATTTGAAAATGATTAGTTGACGAATCTTGAACAAAAGATTAGTTGTTCATTCCTATTTCAAGGTTTCATGTTTCCTTTCAATGACATCTAAATCTAAGGAGAGGTATGAAATCCATAAAACAGAGAAATGTTAGATGCTAGCCTTCTCGCTCCTGCTCTCTACTTGAGGATTGAGGACACTCGCTTGCTGCTAAAGGTACTTTTGGAGCCTGAGCCCCCTGGTTCCTCCATTAAGGAGTTCGTATAGGAGGTCCACCATCTCGTCCATTAGCTTGCAAGCCGAGCTGCAAATTCTTCTAGTTAAGCGCAGCCCTATGGTTCGAAGTATGAAGATTTCGCTAGCCTCATTTCGCTAGTAGGAGCTGTGGCTGCATCACGTCGCACCATCTCTCCGTACGATCTTTTTGCCAGTGACAACAGTAAGCTGTTATCTCTAAACTCCTATTGAATGGTCAAAACTACGATGAAGGGGCTCTGCAAGTCTTCGTATGGCTTTGAGTTGCCATAAGAAATTGGGCTTTTTTGATGGTTCAATACCACAACCGAATAAGGACGATCCTTATTATGAAGATTGGGGGGGGGCAAACAACCACTTGATTGTGACATGGCTCACAATTGAAGATTGATTGCGTTCCTCACATCGTGAGATTGAAAAAGACTTGTGGGATCTCCGACGTTTCTCTGTTAAAAGCACGTTTTCAACAGCTTCGTACGTCTTTGGCTAATTGTCGTCAGCTGGATTCTACCATTGATGACTACTTTGGTCGCCTTACCAAAATTTTGGATGCTATGCAAGAGTGCAATCCGAGCTGTTCCTGTACTAAGTGTGAATGGAATTTGGCCCTCGCCAAAGAACAAGAAATTGATCAGATTCGAGTCCATGAGTTTGGACTAGACGATGGAACAATACGACAGCAACTATGTGCTCAAGCTCCTACCCACCCCTGAATTGGACTCACTTTCTCAAATCTTGGTTTAGAATGTGCTCGCACGTAAGGAACCTGAATTGATGACCTTTGCAGCTCGTACCTCCACCTCGGTCCCATTGCATCAGTCTTAGCCTTTTCAAAATGCCAACTCTACTTAAATTAAAGAGATTTCTCGTCTGTGGTTTGTGCTACATGTGGTCGTAAGAGTCATGAAGTGGCTCGTTGTTATCGCGACATTGCTCGATGGTGGAGTAGCAGACCAAGAGACAAACTCTCAATCTCGACTCCCAAGTCTGCTCCTTTTACGGGACCTCGCACTAACACCACTCAAATTGCAGTCACAACACCACTAATTCATGCCAATGTAGCTGCTCTCACTGATGCTGATCGACAAGGACTTAGCGGTTTTTCAGATGCTCAATGGCAAACGCGTGTCTTTCAACCTGACAAAATATAACGCCGAAGCGGTAAGATTGACGATGTCTCATGGATTTTGAACACTGGAGATGACTGGGCGTGTTGATCTTCGACCCATTAAGTCGGTTCTTTTATCGTCCGGAAAGACTGCTCTCTCTTAAGGGCACTGTTCATCTTACATCTCAATTATGCTTGAATAATGTCTCTTTGGTTGATGGTTTTCATATGAATTTGATTTCATTTAGGCAATTGGTATCTGATAACTACAGCGTTGGGCAGGTTACTAACAAACTTGTCGTTTTACAGGACCGCATCACGAGGATCTTTATATAATTGGAGTGGGTGAAAGGCATGGCGAAGGACTATACCGCTTCCAAGGAATTGAGACTTTGGCTAGTGTTCAGACAAGTGTTGGTGATGATACAACTTTGTGACATCGCCGTCTAGGTCATCCGTTTTACCAAGTTGTGGATCCGGAAGTTGCTTATTTATCTAGTAGTAGTAGAGTTTTACATGAGGATTGTGAGGTTTGCTTTCGTGCTAAACAAACAAGAACACTTTTTTCAATTAGTTATAATAAAGCTTTGGGAATATTTGATTTGATTCACTGTGATCTTTGGGTCCCTTACCGAACAACTACTTTTTCGGGCTCCCGTTATGGACGATGGTTGACGACTATTCTCGTGCCATATAGATAGATCTTCTTCCTGATAAACATGAGGTGGGAAAGACTCTCATTTTTCTCCATGATTTCTCGCCCCAAAGACATCAAGATCATTCGTAGTGATAACGGAACGGAGGCACTCACAAGTTATTTCCGTGACAATGAACATGAAACTTCTTGCGTATATACTCCACAGCGGTTGTGCCGAACGCAAACATAGGCAATCCTCAATGTTGCCCGTACTTTACGTTTTCAAGCTTCTATTGAAGGGGGGGGGGTGAGTGTATTCTCACGGCTGGTTATCTCCGCACTCCTTCACAACTTCTTAAAGGAAAGACTCCGTTTGAACTACTTTACGGACGCCTACCTTCTTTTAACACCTTCGTGTTTTTGGGTCTTTGTGTTATGCACATAACATTAATCACCATGGTGAGAAATTTGAATCTCGAAGCAGAAAATATCCATATGGGAAGAAAGAATGGCGCCTTTATGATCTTGAAACTGAAGTTTTCTTTGTTTAAAGAGACGTAGTTTTTGGTGAAACCATGTTTCCTTACTCCGACAGGGTTCTTGGTGAATCATCATCTTCTTTGTACCCTTTGGAAGCTTCTCACGTTCCTTCCAATCCAAATATGATGATTACTTTGATGCAGTGTTATCAACTCCACTTAATATTGAACTTCCAGAAGCAATGACATCCCCATTACCATCTCTTTCAACTAACGTTGTGAATGATGAGTCTCTTACCGCAACGTCTCCATCTCTCGACAATGCCATTGTAGCACCTATTGAGACCCCTGCTGTTATTAATTCTCCTGTTCCAGCCACTAAATTGTCTCAAGAACCAGCAGAATTACTCGGTCGAGGACACCGAACTCAACCACTGAAACTTGCGGATTTTTTAGTAAACACAGTCTCAATCTCTGATTCTTCGCCTAGTCCACTCGCCTCCGCAGCACCCTCAGGTACGGCGTATCCTCTCTCTTATTATCTCACATGTGAACTCTCCCAACCATCACAGTTACTTAGTAGCGCTTTGACAACGGCCGCTCGCTCCTTCAACGAAGCTATGTAATCCGACGAATGGACAGATTCGGTACAAGGTGAGATTGGCGCCCTTGAAGAAAACATGGGATCTTGGATCTTTAGGATCACAACGAACTATATACTTATCTGGTGGATGCGCGTCTTGGGCTCTTTGACCTCTAACTAGAAATATCGTAAGAAAATCAAGTGCTTTTTCCTAGGGTAGATGAAAGGAACGAGGGGAAGAAGCGGGGTAGAGGAATTGGTCAACTCATCAGGCTCATGACCTGAAGATTACAGGTTCGAATCCTGTCCCCGCATAAAGAAGAAACAAACAATAGAAAAAACCAAAAATTTGATTTGAAGAGTCAAAGTCAAATAAATGATCATTTCGAGGAACGCCTTGTCTGAAGCATTTCCTAGATTGAAAGGCTGGACTGGCTCTTAGATTTGCTTTTTGGATTACATGGAGTTGTTTGTTCCGGTCCGTACTCTTATGTTTATACGTTGGCAGTTTCAAAAGATGCTAAAGCTAAACTCAGATGGTAGTGCTACTTCGTCTGGGCTGGGGGCTGGTGGTGGTATTCTAAGGGATTGTTATGGTGGTCTTATTTTCGCTTATCATGGATACTTTGGTAAGGCAACTAGCTTGCATGCAGAAGCAAAGGCGTTATTACTCGGTTTGAAATTATGTGAAAGATGTGGCATTTCATCCGTTCAGGATATGTGACTCTCAGGTTTTGGTAGAGATGTTGAATGGGGTGAATAGAGTTCCTTGGTCTACTATATTTCAGAAAATTGAAAGATATCGTGACTACTTTTGATCATTGTTACAGAGAGTCCAATCATGTAGCGGATGCTTTAGCTACTTTAGGGCAGCAAGAGAGGCGTTTTTTCCATAAGCTTTCTACACTGCCGTCGGGGTTACGAAGTCTGATCTCCATGGATTCAGTAAATCTGCCTAGCATACGTGTTAGGAGGCGCGTAGCGGGAAAGAATGAGTGATTGCCCTTAGGCACCTAGCAGCTCAGAAGTAGCGTTAGCTCGACATTAAGAGAGGAGAGTCTTTCAACATAAACGATTGAATCAAGAAGACAATGCGCAAGATCTTTTGAGTTTTTTATAACAAAGTTGTCTTGAGAAGACTTGCTTGGCATCGGTATGGGCTACGACGAAGTTACGTCATTACATGATAGCTTACCAGGTTATTATTATCTCTTGGCGTTTCAATATTTGTTTGAGAAAGCTGCTTTACCTTGTTAGAGGGTTTGAAACAAACAGCCAGATCAGGTTGATTCCTTCCAAGGACCCTTCTGTCCAATAATGAGTTTCCAGTACTTACTGCTTGCCGTATTGCCTAACGGCCTACTCTATTCCGCCTACAGACAAGTCCTATACTTAGCTTTCCTTCCCCTTAAAGGTAAGCTCTCTAAGCAAGCTGTGTTTTCTAGAAAAACTTTCTCTTTTTTTACTCTTTTTCCACTATCAGACTTAGCCTAATCTAATGGTCTTGATTCAATTCAGGTATAGGCAATTATCTTTTCTTTAAGAGCCTCATCCCGAGTTATCATAGGCATATAAAAGGCATGATGGTTTATATTATATAATAGAACTTGAATCAACATTTGGCTTTTCCAATTGAATTCAAGAATAGCCCTTCTCAACGAATACACCATTCTTGGTCAGAATACATTTTTAAGACTCTAAGACCATCTTAAAGCCGCGCTTGGACAAGAGGAGATCTGGAAACCAAGTTCTTGTGGATGTATGGTATGTGCAGAACATTATTCAGTGTAATCACCTTCCCGGAGGTGAACTTAAGCTTTACGGTTCCCTTTCCAACCACTTTGGAAGTAGAAAAATAGCCCATAAACAGATTCATGTCAACAAAAAAAAGAATCCTCGTCTTTACAGTCTTATCAATTGTGATAAGAAAGCGCTCTTAGTTCAGTTCGGTAGAACGTGGGTCTCCAAAACCCAATGTCGTAGGTTCAAATCCTACAGAGCGTGATTCCGTTGCTCTTGTTAGGTCGAAAATGAGACTGAACTCAAATAATTGAACAGCACTCATCTTTCCATTGGGTGTCTGCCTATCTGGCTAATTCGTCTAGATCTGATCAAGATGCTTTCCCATGGGTTCCTCCACTCACCCATTGGTAACCTAGGGAACTCACAAGCGCTTGCACTGGAACAAGACATATCAGCCAATCCGCTTCCGTACCAGAAACCTCTGATCTGATAGCAGCAGCAGTTAAAAGAGGTAGGGGAATGGCATTTTGAGAATCTGCTTTTGCACCCCCGGAAAGTACTGATATCAGATTGAGTACTACATCCCACAATAGGTATTTGCTTTTCTTCTTTATCGGTCGTCAAAGAGAGAAGAAGGATTGGCACAATTGATTAACTAGCTGACCTTCCAGCCCGCATCTAAGGAAAGCTATAGGGAAGACTCTACCGTACCGAAGCAGGAGGGCTTCGTGCGCCAGCCCGAACTGATCCGATGATGGTAAGAAGACTGACTCCATCTGTCTCTTAGATCCGAGAATAACGTATGAAAAAGATATCCGGAAATCTATTCGCATTTCCGGGAATATTAACGTAAGACCTTTTGCCCTGGGTTTCCACGAATATTAATGATTTTCATTCTCTTCCGGAAAGAGACTCCCCTAGCTATGCTTACGAGTTGACTAGCTCAAATAGCTGGACTGCCATAAAATCACCTTTCTTTTTTCCCATGGTACTCGCCGCCTACTATACTGAAACTCCTGGATCCGCAAACGGAGCCAATCACTCTAACGAATCTAGAAGAATATGCTCAAGGGTCTCTCTTTTGCTGATTGAAGAAGGTAGCTTGCTTACTTTCACTTGGTAAGCAAGTTGGGTCGATATTCTTAGCCGAGAATCCCCCTCATGTTTTTACTGAGGTGCACTCGATCTATTTCAAGTAATTCTCACTTCACTTGTCCCTCGGACGGGAAGAGGCGTTCCTCGAGAAAGAAGCGGTCAGGTTGACTTTCGACGTCGTGTCATCTCGTATTTGGTCTATATCTTATCAATAGTTAGATAAGATTGAAAGAAAACAAAAGAAGAGTGCTGTGGTCTTGCTATGGCTCTGGCGCCGAAAGGCCCCTCTTCGTTTCACTCGAGCCTCCCCTCTCGTCCTCTCCTCTGGTAGGATACAGTAATAAGACTGTAAGCGCATCTGAGCGCCTTTTTCCCGCGACAATATATGGACACTAAGGTTAGTGCCATAGGGCGAAGCGGGACATGTTCGCCCTCACGTCTAACCAGCGTCAGGTCGAACGAGCCCCCTAGCTCTTTCTTGTTTGAAGACCGGAACATTAGCAAGATGGATTAGGATGGCTCTTCGTAATATTAAGCCCCGTAGGAATACTAGCAAATCCAATGTTACATGTATTTTAGGGCAAGGAAGGGCTATCTTTACTCTTTAGTTTGAGAGGGAGAAGGCTTCCTTTTCCGCGTAGGCAGATTAGCAATCCATAGTCTTACTAAAAGAGTCTTGGACTTAGATTTCCTCCTCCTCGAGGATGATGGATCCGGGGAGAGGGAAAAGGTGAGTCTGGTAGATAAAGACAGATCAACATGGCAAGGACATGCTTCGAATATCAGATAAGAAGAGATTCTGACGTCTGAGATTGCGTGCCTTGCCCGGTCAGTTGATAGGGGAGCAAGAACAAAGTAGTTAGACCGGAGCTTACCGAAAGGCTAGTTTCCATCCATAAGCATTACATTCGCAGGTACCTCAAGGTCCGCAGGAATTTCTTACTCGAGTGAAACGCACTTTAGTGACTAGAGAAAGAAGTTCTCTAGGAGAGGTACTCTATCTCTAGATGTGAGGGAAGGAAGGGACTAGGAGGGAAGGGGAATTCATTCCTTAATTGAATCCAATCCCATCCAGCATAGGCCCTCATCAACATGCGTTAATGAGTTGCTTTGCCCTACTTTTAGCAAAGGAGTGCTTCCCCTCTCGCTATGTATGCTCGAGTCACTTTGTACCTAAAACCCTCAAGCTGTATTTCTTTTGCTGTCGTTAGGGCTTTTTGATTTCACAAGTTTTTCTACTTTCGTTTTTGATGTAATTGAAAGTGTTCACACCTGCCTTTCCGGAGTCACTCTATATCGTTAAGTAGGATCAGGGAAAATGAAGTACTATTACTTTCTAGCTCTCCCGATCCCAAGATCAGCACCCTTCGAAAAGGCTTAGAGCAGTAGCTTCTCGCACTAACCCGCCTTCTTTCTTTTCGGGCGTACGTACTTCTTCCTCCTATTCTCCTTCGATACGTGCCTGCGCTACTGCAACAGCTAGAGATAATGGCCTAAAAGCAGTATGGATTCGGACATGGGAGCATTAGGAAAATTCTTTCTAGCTTATATGATTCACATGTGAGTCACTCCTTTAATAAGGTAGTAGGCTTACTTCCTTCTTAGAGGACAGGTAGTTAACTAATTGCTCTTCTTAGAGAGAAGGAGATGCTTGAACAACCTATTCTCAAACAACTGATTCTTGCTGCCTATTTTCATCGTGAGAAAGAAGAGCTAGCTTTCTCCTTATGAAGAAGATTGTCTTGGTACTTCATCTACTTCAGAGGATTAGCTTTTAGGGGCTTCAAATTGAATCTCTTCACTCGGAAAACTAAACCTTTAGGAAGAAGTTCCCATTCTAATAACTTGAGTTTAGTATAGTAAGAGTAGGAAGAGAGGCTTAACGATGGATAACATCCCCCGGCATTGGCTAGAAAGATAGGAATGATATACCCTGGTATGTGCCCTCGGACTGCTTTGCCCTAAAATCCGCAGGGGAAAATCAAAAAGTTGTGTACATGGTTCACAGAGGAGAGATTGGGCATGGGAAGCACCTAACTTTCTTTGTGGGTCACGAGAAAGGTCATCCAGCAGAGCGTTAGGAGGTAAATACGTAGGTGGCTATCAGCCGGTTGGCATGTCCCTAGTTCCCCGAGGGGGGATTCCTTTGGTTAGTGGGAGGCAAGGGCATCCCGGGATGGAGTAGCTCGCGCCGATAGATCGCGGGATACTATTCAACTATAGCTGTTCACACTGTTCTATTCCCCAGGTCACAAGGGATGAGTTTCAGGGAGGTGGAGCCAGATAGCTTTACCAGTTGGGAGTTGTCCGTGACGAATTCCAATTCAGTAGCTATCAGTTCAGAGTAGATCTGTCCAGAGGTCGATTCATCTACACGTCTACATAAAAGCTTGAATTTCACAAGGTTCACGATAGGATTTTCTTTGAGTGGGTTGACCTAAGCCTTGAGCTTCACTAGGGGGAGGCCAGCTATCTATGGTATCCTCGGTATGAGGATGAATGTCTCTAACCTAGCTATTGCCCTGTTTTGATCCTATTCAATCGTATAGAAAGCTACTATAGACCCTAGCTATTCCGCCCTTTCTTTTCTACATTCCATTTTTGATTGAGCCGAATCACCATCATTATATTATATATTCATTGTTGGTTTGGCTGCTGGTCTAGCGATCCTTCCTAGCCGTCGCCTAGAGTGCAGCCTCGCTGAAGACCGTAACGTAAGTGACTCAGTGCTCCATACGGGGGAAATGAAAGCAGAATTCGTTCGGATCCTCCCACATGTTCAATCTTTTTTTAGCGGTTTCCCCAGAGATCTTTATCATTAATGCAACCTCCATTTTGCTCATTCATGGAGTTGTATTTAGTACCTCTAAGAAATATGATTATCCGCCGTTAGCCAGTAATGTGGGTTGGCTTGGATTACTTAGTGTTGCGCGCCTAGGAGGGCAGCGCGCTTGGGGATGCAGAGGAGCTATTATCGCCCAGCCCCCTACCCTAACCTAATGCGGCACCGGATTCGGACCGCAGGGAACCGTAGCATGGGGGGACGTCTAATCCTTTTGCCGCCGCAAGGCTGGCTAATAGTACGCAGCAGGCTCGAAGACCCCTGGTTCTGGAAGGCACATGAGTCCGAACGCTATGTTGAATGTGCGACCGACACTACGTAGGTACCAGTGCAGGTGAGGCGTCGGTCGGTCCTAGAAACGGCGGCAACGGCGCGAGGAGTTAACGACCGGACGTGCTGCAACCTAGGGATCACCAGGCAGCTCTTTCGCTCTATAGGGATCGGGGGGGCATAGCACAATTCCTCTTGGAGGGGGGTTGGTTTGCCCGGGTGACTGATCCTGCCATAATGTACTCCTACCTATAGCACCGGCAACCGAAGTCAAGCATACATAGGACGATCTTCATGCGTGAATAGCCGGGAGGAAAGAAAGGGCGGTAGATGATAATGAAAAAGGGCGCCGCGTCTGTACGGGCGGGCGGAATAGATGAGCAAAAGGTGCCATGGGGTGAGGAATATCCCGAGTCTCATGTAAGACAACTAAATGCACCCCGAGGTGCTGCCGAGGAACTGGGAGACCTTCTCGAGCACAGGATAGGCAATTGAAAGATAGAGCTAGCCTATTCGTTATGGGGAATCAATGCTCCGGGCCGAATCAAGCTTACCTCCGGCACCTGGCTTTCCCCGGCACATATTAGCTTAGCTGTGCTTAATAGGTCGGTTTGTTTGGCTTCCTCTCTTAGCCCATTCCTAACCAGTGGAGAAAAGGTTCGCTCATGCTGGAGGGAGCATCCCCACTTAGTGATCGGTCTGCTAGTTCACGCAAATCCGAAGAAGTTATCACGGACGAGCCACATGCAGGGAAACTTGCACGTGTGGTTCTGGCCGGGCTTTCCTGAGGTATCTAATAACCTTGCTTCTGCTCGCCGCTGGCGCACCTCTCCTAACTATTGCCCATTTATTCTGGAATAATCTTTTTAGGAGGGACAATTTTACATATTTCTGCCAAATCTTTCTATTATTAAGTACGGCTGGTACCATTTCGATGTGTTTCGATTCTTCCGACCAAGAGAGGTTTGATGCTTTTGAATTCATTGTATTAATTCCACTTCCTACTCGCGGTATGCTCTTTATGATCTCGGCTCATGATTTAATTGCCATGTATTTAGCTATTGAGCCTCAAAGTTTATGTTTTTATGTAATCGCAGCATCAAAAAGAAAGTCTGAATTTTCCACGGAAGCCGGCTCGAAATATTTGATCTTAGGTGCATTTTCCTCTGGAATATTATTGTTTGGGTACGACCGGACAACTACCGATATCAATTAATATCTTTTTTTAGAATGTTGTTGTTAAGTAGATCAATATCTATCTATATTGTAAACTATCGGATCGGGTATTACTTAGATGTGAAACTTTAAGACCTCATTAGTTGTGATATTGATCTTACGGGGGGGGGGACGAAATCAAAGAATATATAGACTTGTAAAGACCCTCTATATAGTTGTCTATCTAAGGCGATCGATCTACATCTTTCTCCATAGCCCTTGGGCTGTGTCTCGATCTCCTACGTGCGAAATCAGAGGGACCTGTTTCTATGGAGATTCCCCTTGGTCTAATTCCACGCCTTATGACGAAAGGAGAGTCGGCGTGGCATCAAGTGAAGATTTAGGGAAGTAGAGAAAAATTCCCTTCTGGGGTATTCCGAAGGTGTAACCTAGGCAACGAAAAGGGGCCCGATACTTCAACTAGAGGAGCGACCAGTTGGTTCACCAAACCCCGACCCAGCGTCACACGTTCTCCAGGTCCGAAGGGATCCAGTGCCCAACTACCGACTCCTCCCGGAATTTCGTTATCGGAGCCGAGCCTGGAACGGCCGTTAGTGGACACCCACTACTTTTCACCGGTTAGAGAGGCCCTCTTTAATACATTAAGAAAAGATGTTCACAGGGGCCAGAAAGACTCGGTCATAGGAACTTAGACCACCTACGCGCTGGTAAACGAAAACCACCTCGACCGGATCAGAGTGAAACAACAATGTCGAAATCAGGCCGCCCCTTGCCTTGAAAGAATTCAAGGCGGCCACCTGCTTTCCCAAAAGAAGGGGAGATCCGCTGCTTACTGCTCACGGAAACATCCGACCTATACTATAGTCAAGTCGTCCGCCTATCTTTCTTCTTTCTTTTTCTTCTATTCACATCAGATTTGATACTTTCACCAATTCAAGGTGAAAAGGGGGAAAGAAGAGAGCTTTGGGATTCGCTCACTTCTGAATTTTGAGTTATCGAGATTCTCAATGTGGGGAGGCGTTCCTAGGGAATGGCGGTTCTCAGACAAGGGAATCGTTCCTCTCTAAATCAAAATTGGCTAGAATGTTTCCTATCAATAGAGCTTTCACGTCTGCGCATAGAATCGCTTTTTTTGCTCGATCAAGTCCGTTCCTCACAGCAGGACCAGTGTAAACAGGTTCTAGGTCAAGCGATCCTATAGGCAAGTTTTAAAGTCGTTACCCCCGAAATGAAATAGTATTCCACATAAATTGTTAGTTATTCTCCTGCATTAGATATTTTCTAGCAATCTTAAGGTATTCCTCCGCTGCCCTTTATAGCAGGGATTCCAGTCGAGGCTTCCCCTTTCGAATGATTAAGTGCTCTCTTCAACCGGCGAGTTTAGCCTTGTCAGTGCTCTCAGAAACCAGATCAATTAGGTCTGGATCGGCTCACTTTCCCAATCGAAATGAATTCGAAACGCGAGACACGACACTCGCAACACGAGAATCGAATCGAGGATCAACCCCCTTCTATATCATTTAAGCTGTTACAGAGGGCGTTAGCTCAATTCATAGCCTTCCTTCGGGTAGGGTTAAGGCAAGATGAACAATGCGGCTAAGCGTGCAGATTGTTGGTTTGGCGCGAAGTGAGCTTTTCCGCCTTTATAGGTAATTGGTAGAAGTGCTCTCCTGCAGCCTTGAAGTCTAGTATTTCCGCGAAGGCAAATCCTCAGTGACTTGGGCTGATGAAATTGGATCATGGGAAGATTTTCTAGATGAAGGAGAGAAGGCTCGTCTTCTTGCCCCCCCCTGGGATTAGTGATAGAAGTTACATAAGAGGTGATTCTATTCGCTCCATGCCTACGCCTTCTAGGGCGATATTTGTTTGGAGACCTTATGGCTGGGAGTCTTCTCGTCGTCTTACCCTCTTTTTCTTTTGGAACTGCCCGAGCTAGATGACAAAGCTGAGCTGGAAGGTGCCCCCATTGATCCCATTATTCCCTCTAAGCTGAACCTTGACCTCGAACTGCTATCATAACTATCCACGTAAATCCGGATCTATCATTGCAGGCCACGCAGGCGCAACCAAAAAGATCCATTTTGATTCGCCACGGGAGCACTCGATCCCTACATTAATAGCGGGTCTTATTCCAGCATTCAATAGATCGGCGGATAAGAATATTTGTCCATCTTTAATGGAAATTACATTAGTAGGAAGCTGAAACATCTCCCTGACTGGGTCTCGACGATTGGTAAGGCTGCTCCTGAGCTACCTTCACCTAATTGAGAGCTTCATTTAGCGTTCTAAAAGACGGGAATTTAAATAAAAAACATCTCACACGACCAGGCGGTCTTCGTAATAGAAGAGACATTTGTCGAGAAGCTTGTGCTTGTTTGAAAAGATCATCAACAATGATGGAAAGTTTGTCAATAAGACATACTAATGTTAGTTTGAATACTAGAGTCACTAGGCGTTCCTCGTTCAAAACAGGTTAGCCCCAGGTACGCTTGGGACCGGATTGAATCCTTTTCCTTTGGAGGAACCAAGCTTCTCCCGTTGGTCAAGCAGGCTTCGCTCCTTATTATTCTGATCCCGGGATAAAGAATAGCTCGTCTTTAGCGAAAGTCTTCTTTGTCTTCTGCTTCTCGCGTGAACGTGGGCAATTTTGATTAGAAATGAAGCAACATTTCATCAAGCCTCGCCTATACTAGAAGCCAGAACTATTTTGGGAGCGAAGGCAACCACCATTGAACCTGTGGTCTACCTAGTAGAATAGAAGGGCGATAGAATGGCCGTTGAATGGCATAAGGACCGAGGAACTGCTATCGTGCTACTGGCTTTTCACCGGATTGCTACTGGTTCAACGTCATATCCGTCCGAACAGACTGAACATCTAAAGAGCTCATCGTTGAGCTAGACCGGAAAGATGAACGCCGAGCTAAGGACTAAATACCCCGAGACTGTAAGGGGTGCTGAGAATGAGGTACAGGTCTCCGTCGATTTAGACGGCCGTGGACCCCTAAATAGGCCGGCATTCAAAGCATAAGAAAGCCTTAGTTAAGCAAGATAGAAGTAGGAGGGAGTCATTCTGTTAGGAAAGAAAGGTAAATCATTCTCGTGGGGCAGGCAGTCATTTCCGGTCTCGAAGGTACCTTATAAAGGCATCATCTAGTAGGGCATACGTTCCCCCATCCGTATCTATCATATGTGTTGGGTGAAGAGCTAAGACAATGCTTGGGACGGGGGAAGAGTCTGCAACAAAATCAATTGAATAGACAGAGAAGTCCGTTAAGCGTATCGATTCAAGCAAGTCCGACTAGGTTAGGCGCCGCCTTCCAGACTTATGAGAAACCGCCGGGTGGTATGAACTCCAGAGCCCTATTCTGGTTACAGAGTGCGGGTAGCCGACAAGTAGGTTAGCAAACAGGTGAATCAATAGGCTTTGCTCCTGCCTTCGCTTCCAGGAGAGAAAGAGTACTGGCCTGAAAGCGATTTTTACACAAGATAGGATGGCTGGGAGGGAGTTCTTGAATGCCGAATCCCTGTATTGAACTCATACCCGTCGGTAGGCCCCGCTTAAGATAAACCCGATTCCAGTGTATCGTAGAAAATCCACTTCGCTGCTGGTTTGGAACCCTGAGCAGACTCCGGTGATAGTGAATCAGACAGAAAGAAGGCGCGATGCCCTCACCTTTGAAATGTAGCTTGAGCAGCTAATCAGTCAATACCCTATGTTCTTATTTCACACAATCCAGGAACTTCCATAAATAAGGGAAGAAAAGTCGGTAGGAAGCTACCCGAAGATAGGACATTCATTCCTATAAGGCAACGCCTTTAGCTACTCAACTACTTGAGCTCATTCGATACCAGACAAGCACTCATTGGCTACCAGGGCGCTACCAGAACTACTCAGATCAGATCGTCGGCTTCCTACTTTCATTTAGAATAGGAGAAAAGAAAGGCGAAGGTGAATCCTTTTCTCCCCTCTTCTCTTGGTACAGGAGCTGAACCCATTCATTGCTGCTTCCTTGGTTGCTGCACCTGCTTCTGCTCTTGGGTTGGTAACGAAAACTGCTTGGCACGTCTCAGACCAGGGCCACTTGTGGTCCCTTTTCAACAAATCTGTAAGCGGGGCTGCTCTTTTTCGAGTACCCCCACCTTAATGAATTTTGTTAGTTTGCCTATCTAAAGTATCCGCCAGGGACCTTCCTCGACAAGACTTCAAATGCTAAGGTGGTCACCTGGGGAGTTGAGATGAAAAAAATGAATTACTTGAGTTTCGGTCCCTCTTGACTAATGGTCGGCTTGTGGTCGACCGCCTTTTTCTTCTCATTCTGACTTTACTTGTTATCGCTGTTGAGTTTGTGCCACTACTCTTTCTGGAATGGATAAGCCTTTTTTTTTGCCTCAAACCTTCAAAATAGCCAGTTTTCAGCCATTTGCCGCTGTCAGAATCATTTCCTCACGCTGTCAGGACGGAACCAAAGACCTAGACTTTGGCAACAATCCCCCCTTCGCGAAAATGAAAACATTCATGAGAAGCCACAGTTGCATGAAATCTGGCTGGTGTGGTCAATCCTATTTTTATATGCCTTATGGACTTGGCGAAATAAGAGCATCTTTGACCCCGTTGGCCGAGCCTTTTTCATTCCAGTACTTCAAGTGAGAGCTAGAGCGCTTCTTTCTCGAGGAACGCCTTCTTCCGCTCCACGCCAAAGTTGAGTATGGCCTATTTCCCCTAATAGGATAAGATGCTGACGTTCATGTGAAAGTCAATCTTTTTGACCGACTAAGGAATAGCTTTCATTGAAGTGAGTCTACTCTAAATAGGATTCCCGCGCCCTATCCCACAGTAGGACAATTCTTTCAGGAAAGAATTCTAGCCATCAGGAAATCTATTCAATAAAGACGGTTGGCTAAAGACAGGGGAAGTGAGTCTACTTTTCGAGTTGGTACTCACCTTCTATCCCTAACTTCTAAATAGAAAGATTCTGAGGTAGGATCTCAATTCGACATCGCCTGTTCCCCTATCCCGCCGATTCATTTTCTTTCACAAAAAGATTCGATTCTGTCTGTGTGGCTATCTGAACGACTTATTCAACCTCACCTCCCGTAAACAACAAAGAAGGGGAGGATCAAAGACGTCTGTACTGGACCATTGAGTAACCGCTCTGTAAGACTACTGAACGACTAGTCCGTTCCATCCTAAACTTCGATTGAATGAAGTCCTTCTGAACTGGAATCATGAATTGGATTCGAACCAATATCTCCCTTTCCCTTTAGTCGATCATGATGGGAAGATCTGCTGGATCGAGTCCTGTTTCCACATTTGAAAAGCAACGTAGAGACGCGGACTGGGTTCCCCTGCTTTCCATTCCAAAAACAAATGTAGTAGTTGCACCGATTGAGCAATTCTAGTAGCACCAGTAGCACATGTATACGGAATTCCCCCGCCCTGAAAGCGTAAGCTCTTCCAATTCCAAGACGAGACCACCGGGCGCGTGTATCGCGTAGTCCCTTACTTGATATTCTTCTTCAAACACAGCGTCGTTGAGAGCATGTTTGCTTGAGAGGACTCGGCTCTGAAGAAAATAGACTGCCTCGTTGGGGTCATACCCAGAGTACACAGGTGATTACAATGTTGGTGTGCTGTACTACAGTAGGGCAAGATTCTCTCGAACAAGGCTTTGTATTGTACATTTCGGGCCATAAACATATGTTATCCATAAAGACGATCGACCGTGGAACTCATATACATGTACACCATGCCTATCCTATCGATCCCGATTCGTGGATCAAGCCGTCGCAGTTCACTTCCGAAGTCATACTATGATTAACGGCTATAAGCCACGAAGAAAAAAACAGGAAACGAAACGACCAAACCGCGAGAATCGGAATAAGATAGAGCCAGCATATAAAAGAAAGAAAGTTCGTCGACCGAGCAACCACTGTAAGGCGTTTCTCCACTATACTATAAAGAAAGAGATGAAAAATAGAGTACAAATTGGAAGAAGAATGAAAAGTTTCAAAGACCTACTATTCTAGTTCGCCTTGTGTCATCCTAATTGAGTGAAGTTCCGTTGAGAGCCTTCGTTCCGTTTCCACACGGATTGAGAGTCAAGGCAAGGACTTCGGGGTGAGGTTCCCTTGTGATAATACAGCTCCAATACCATTCCCCGAGGCGTCTGTCTCAATCACAAAGGGCTGTGTGAAGTTTAGCAGCGTGAGAATAGGCAATTTTTTGACTGCTTCCTTCAGGGCGTTGAAGGAGGTTGTCGCATCCATCGACCACTTATCTCCATTTAGATTAGAGCGAATAAGTACCTATTGGTCAAGCCAGCTCCCCTTTCTCTATCTTCCCCCAATTTAGCAGGCAGGATCGAAGGGGGTGTAAAGTTCTTCTCAGAGAGAAGGTGAAGCACCTATTGAGACCAAAGGCTAAGGAACAGTCTCAAAAGCACAATCTGCGCCGTGAATCGCGCGGTCGTCGATTTGCTGGAGTAGGTTTCAGGCAGACAGAGAGCACGTTATTTCACATACAGACGCAGTTTCTTGAAAGACAGGTGAACAGTTACGAAGAAGACAAAGAAAAGAAGAGATTGAATACTGAGCTGCAGAGCTGCAGTAGCTACACTGCAATCTGAGGGAGAAAGAGGATTCAACAATCAGCCATAGAACGGGAAAACCTATGGAAAGAGCTTACTCAAACAACAGTACAAATGGAATCCCCCATAGCTAAGAAGGGATAGCTAAAGAAAGCGGTAGGAACCCCAACCTGTCAGCTAGTGAAGTCCGTTTCCTAACCTAAGGAAGTAGGCTTTACCTAGGAGGACCACTTGAATATGTTTTCAACTAAGTTTGACTGTTCACCTACAACCTAATCTTACTGAAACTCTTGCTTTTCTTTGTTCTCTTTCTTTTTGATCTCCGTCTGGGAAGATGTATAATAGGGAAGTAAGTGAAGTGAGCGAAGCGGTTGAGATTGAGCAAAAAGCTTATTTGAGCGAGGGCCAGAAGTCGAATTCTTATCAGATTGATATTCTCCCATCGGTCAATAGAACAAGGATTCTGGGGAACGGCAACATCGGCTGCAGTAGGTGGTGACAACGACTCCTTAAAGGCGGCGTTTGGCATCAACAACAAAAGCTGCGTTCGGCAACACAAACCATTGGAGTGTGCTGTGGGGAGGATCTGAGCTGTAGAAAACCTTGATCCACTAGGTAAGGTTACTTCCAGAGCGGAGTATGCTCAGGTTAAACTGGTGGTGATGCCGATCTCTTCTTTCTCGATTTCTAGTTCCGTTTCGCCATTGTTGAGGAATAAAAGTGATCCGAGACTCAACAAATCGAAGAGAAAAGGAAAACTTTGTTGATTCAGGAACTGTGAAACGGAAAGTCTCACCAGAAAGTCATTGCACTCTCTTTGAAGAGGGTCTTCCCTTTGTAAGCAAAGGTAATAAATGCTCAATGAGGAAAGATTATGAATTTCTTCTTTCATTTCGGCTTAACATCTCTTAATAATTGTTTCCCTTTTTTTCATACAAAATTTGAGGTGAAGCCTTCTCTAATGCTATGTGTCTTCATCTTAGCAGATCTCTAAAGCTTGGAGCGTATGGTAACGGTTAGAAGTGAGATTTGAGCCGCTGTACTGTAGCAGAGAATGACGTCGCTGTACGTTCATGGCTTCAGCTTTTTTTTTTTTAAAGTGATAAATAAGACAGAGGAGACTTTGGGCTTCGGTTTGTAGACAAAACTCGTCTTGGGCTTATGTCTTGTAGTCATAGGAGAGCTGAGCCTTGTGTTGGCCCAGTTTTGGTTCATTTAGTGAAACAGTGTCGTTTTGAGTTGTAACCGGAAATATCTCCTTCTTCCTTTGACTGTCGATCTCGGTGTGGGTGGCTTAACGAGATGTTAGGGCTAATGTTGGTATGTAGTGATGTGCTGTTGAAGGTAGATACACTTTATACCTTATTCCTGAAGCAGACGAAGCGAGCTGGAACGTACAAGGAAAGAGAAGATGCCTCCTAATCTACTTATGGATGTCAGAGTTGATGGTCGAGCATAGGTCCATTAGCGGATGGAAAGAAGATTCTGCTTAGCGATACTGCAGAGTCAGATCGGCCCCTACTAATGAGAAGGCCTTGAAGGAAGTGAAGATTGAGGCTTTCAGGGTTTAGTTAAGACTTTGCCGGTGACTCTTTTCCTCTCGCTTCGTAAAAAGAAAACTCTTCCATACTAAGATTAATGAGATTTTCCGGTATACTTCCCAGTCGACTATGTGAACAGCACAAAGCAAAGTTTTACCCTTTAGTGTCCAATGATATCAATGGTATCTTTCTGTTTGTTACCAAACAGGAGGGAAGCTTTATGGTTTCGTAGGTTTTCTTCTACTTTTTCTTCTATTTTAGGGTTTGATAGAATCGTCCGCTATTACAGACTTTGATTATCTGTGGGGCAGTGCGTTAGACGAAGGAAGTAGCATCTAATCTAAGGAAGATGAAGACCGGATATTCAAAGGAATATTTTACAAAGCAGAAGCATTACAAGCATACATAAAATAGGAAGCCTACACACACCGTAGACCCCCACACAATACAAAGTTCACTAATAACATAGTACGTGAACCATAGAAATAGAAAAAAAGAGAACAAAGAAAGCCATGCATTTGGGTCGACGGACTCCTTATTTCAATATTAGAAGAGAGTGGTTCTAGTGGCGCTGGCGAACGTGTTCGATAGCACACACAATTAGGAAGTTCTGCTCCTGCAGGAGATCAGAAATCCTTTGTTGCAGACCGCGAATGCGGTCCCGTAAAAGTTGCATCCTTGCACCCACAAACTCTGGATCCAGAGCAGGCGGGTGCTCCCAGAACAACCCAAGCATTTCCTCCCAGTGGAGCTTTTCGTTAGTAGCGTCTTGGATTTCTTGTGGAAGGATCGCCAGTCTGTTATAGATCTCCATATCAGCCATCTCTCTTCACTTTCTTTCCGACTTCTACTTTGTCAAATAGAGAGAAGCTTCTATTTATAGGCCCTAGCGAAGCAGCCCTTTATTATTAGTATTATTATCTTAACTTAATTAGTATTCTTACGTAACACGATTCCCGGAAAAAAAGATGGAACAACCTTAAATTGAGTACGCTGAATAATTAAGTACGCTGAATAATTATCCCCTGGATAAAGGCCCCGCCCCTAAAAATCAAAGAGTCCTTTTTGGCGGGTATTGCCACGCGGCTTAATTACGACCACTCCCTCGGGAATAAGAGGCAATAATAGAACGCACTGTATAGAGTACTCCCCCGCTTTTCTCGGGTTTCAAAAGGCCCGTCACTCCTTACTCGACAGCTCAAAGCTGACCAGAGTCCTCGTTTACCCTACGTGCACTATTTAGCTCTGCCTACTCAGATCACGCTTTTATTTGTCTATTTTTGATTGGCTGATTCCCAGGTACATAACTGACTTCGGCCAATCCTTACTCGACAGCTCCGTCCTTTCTTAGGTGAGCTAAGACCGAAGCTAGCTCTCTTGAATTTCCCCGGAAAGACGGAACCTTTCCAGCTCACTCTGTCAGTCCACTAAGACGCGTATAGAGTAAATGAGCACTAGCAATAACTTTTTCAGTACAATAAGTCCCCTTCTCCACGACCACTTTTCTTTTTGGGCTTTCTTGGATTCGTTTCCCCAGTAATTCCATTTTGTACTCGGAGGCTTTTCCATTGGGCTCAGTATCATAATTATCCCAAAAGCCCCCTCTCCTCTAGCTTGCTTCTTTAAAAAACAAAGCACACTGCTTGTTAATGGGCTTATATGGATCAAAGCATTAAATCGCAAGAATGCAACTCAATCTTCTTCTTTTTCAGTGGATCACACCCAAGCAAGATTATCTATCAGAGAGGCCCTTTAGTGGTGCTTAACCAGAAGTGCTGCGCCAACGAAGTAACCCCCTAGCGCTAGCAACCTCCTCTGACGGAGGTCTTTTACTTATTCAAAAATAAGAAGCTACAGCAAAAGGGGTTCACTCCACTCAGGCTATCCCGACTGCAAGAATGAAAGAGTCAATCTATCTTAGTCAAGGCGCTCCTCGGAGTGACTCGGCCCTTGTGGAGTGAAGTGGGATGCTCAAGATACAAAAGCGTAGGAGCTGGAGGAACGGAGTTGGCTTCTCCCGTTGGTCAAGTGCCTTGCCCCTGTCCCACTCCAAGCTAGGCCTGCTGAGCAAGATGCATTGTGATTTCCTCTTCTGTGGACGCACTGGAAGATGATCCGGGACTCATTCCTGAGACATCGATCAGGTCAGAGATCGGTCAATCATTCTGATTAATCAGAGTCAAGTGAAGAGGGCACACGAGTCAAGAGAGAAACCCAAGTCAAGCGAGCCAAGCAATTAAGGTAACGAGAGCTAGAGCTTGAATCAAACAGGTCCTAGGAGTCAAGTCATGAGCGTACGAGTCTAGAGTGAATGTCTGATTTGTTTGAATGGTCCTGTTATTGCTAGGAAGGTATGGAACACGGGAACAATTGGCCAAGGGAACGATGGATCAATGGGCTAATTGAGCAACTGATCTGTACTCCTTGAGTCTCCTGAATTCTCTAGGTCAGAAGCGTAGCAGTATTTCTATTGCATTTTGTTTCATAAAGGTGTTTGATTTCTGATCTCGGGTAGTGTTCCTCTGGGTATGGCCAGTTAGCTATCGCTTCTAGTTTAGTAGGGTCAGCTGATCTCTTATCTTATTATATAGAGCAATGAAACAAACCGGTGAGTTGATTACGCTGTCGATTAAGAAACCGGTCCACTCTTCAGTGGATTGCAAACCCTCTGACTAAGATCAAAGACAGGAAAGCGCCTACGTACGGCCTAACAACAGAAGTCAGGAATTATGCAAAAGGATAAAACAATGGTTGAGCAGGAAGAAGATCGGGTAGTCAACTACCTATTACATTCCCACCCGACCTTTGAAATTAGCCAAGGGATTGCTATCCAGCACACTCCTCTCCTCACGGTTCAGAATCCTGACTCTTAGCAGTCATATCTTTGTGTGAATTCCTAGGTTGACTCTTCCTTGGTTTGCTAAACAGGTTCTTTCGACCAATGGTACTTTCCTAGCGAAGCAATTCTTCTCACATGTACAGTTTCCTAGCGAAGCAATTACTCTTCTACGCAGGCATGCAATTAAGAGTAGTCTTTCTCCTCACCCCCGATACTAGCTATTCTTTTTACCTCTGTGCTGCATTCTCCTCAGCACACTTCTAGCATAGCAATCTGAGACCAGCTTGAGGACTTCGAGTTACTGGTTTCACCTTCTGGAGTAGGTGGAAATGCCTTGGTTTACCAAAAGTTGGTTGACACTAGCTATTCCTCGTCCTTTTAGTTTGACTTTTCCAAACTCAATTTCTTTAGTTAATAAGGGCCATAGAATCCGTTTACTAAGTCAAGTACATGTGCAAAATTCCCAATCTCTGAGCCATCTCTCCTTTCAGAGTTGGACTTAGATTCACCTGTCCAAAAAGCAGCAGCAGATTAGCTACTTCAAAGGAAAGCAGAGGTGTGCTAAACCTCAGATCTGGAACGGGAAAGCTCACCCAACTTCTCCTACTTTTCAGGGGTACTTGACTAGAGCTGCTCCAACTAGCACACCCATCTGACCAAACCAACTAAAGCAAGGAGATTACCTGTCCTGCTCTGTGCTAGCACACTGGTCGATTAGCAGCACATCGGTAGAACAAAGGTACAGATGAGATCAGAGTGAGATCAGAGGATAGAAGAGAAAGATTAGGAACCGAGAGAAGGGGGCTCACCCTGTGGTGTGCTGCTCTAAGTCCTATACTTGTTACTATGGCTTATTACAACAGTGTGCTTTAGGAGTTAGGATTCAACCAGTATAGAGAAAGCAGTGTGCTAAGAAGGAGTCAACCAGCACTGTGCTAGAGAAGAGTGAGGAGTAAGGGGAGAAGTGAAACAGAGGTGTGAGAGAAGTGTGCTAACCCCAACCCAACAGCTAACAAGAGATTCTCCCACTCAGTAATCAAAACAAAAGGGGACGAGCTCACCTTCCACTTATCCAGTCAAACCTGGGTAAAGATTAGATCAGAAGGATCTCGGCATCGTAGGATACTTCCTCTCAACAAAAGAGAAGAACAAAAGGAACTCAGCATCAAATTGAGAATGCTTAAGGACCAATGGCAAGCAGATTCATAGACTGAGGCGACTTCCTGATCGGCGTCCATCTTCGTCTGAGAGAAAAACAGGAGAAAAGGAGATTCTTAACAGCAGCTCCACGCGGATCGAGTGCCGGACTTCGTCAGCTGCGACTCAGGCATTACTCCAAAGCGAAAACTAAAAGAAAGCGGAAAAGCAGTAGTTATATGCCGGTGAATAAATAGGTCGAGAAAGGTGGCTAATGCCTTCTCCTACTTCACTCATAGAGTATTGCTTTGTTTGATAGGGCAATGGTAATTGGTTCGACTCCAATTCAATCCAATAGTAGGTAAAACTTGGGCAAAAACCTTAACTCCTTGGGAAAGATTCCAACCTTTGCATGCCGATACCAAGAAACTGGTACCAACAAACTGAGCCTTCCTTTAATCTAGGAAACGAATGAATGAAAGGAAACAAAGGGCCGAAGGAACTCTCTAGGAAATGCATCTCTGTAGCAGGCCAGTCCACAGCAGGTTCTACTGGAACAGATAAAGCGGGAACTCTAACAACTGGTGACTTGACCAGAGAATTATAAGAAGTAGGAATTGCATCCCGGATACCTATTATATTAGAAGGAGCCTATGACTTCTTCGCGGAGTAATAAGATTATTTCCTTTAGCAGGTGCCTTACCACTTAAAGGTGGCGTGTAAGGGTTCCCAAAAAGTAATCACCAGATAGTCAACAGGAAGTCATGACCAGGAAGTCATGACCAGGAAGTCAACATGACTAGGTTTTCAAAAGGAGTACGAGCCGAGTTAGTACAGTAGATTTAGCAGAACTGGATCGAATAAAGCCAAAGGAAATACTCGCCTTGGGTCTGGTACAGATGTGCATATGAGGTAAGAAAGACAGAGTTCTAGGTTTCGTAGAACCAGGTGGCATGAAAAGCTGATGGTGAAAGAAGGGCTCCCTCCTGCCAATTCTAAATTAGATAGAAATCGATTTGAAAATCTTTAGGGATTTACCTTGGGGATGGCGGGGTATTGAAAAGAAAAGCAGTGGTTTTGGTAAGAAGGGCAGAGGTCAAAGCAGTAGTTTCGGAAACATAAAGATTTACCGTTTCAAAGAAAAGAGTTCGATTACAGCGACCAGAAGGTAGCACGAAAAGCTGAGTCAGTAGATTTTTTCAGAAATCTATTTCGTCGACCAGAAGATAGCGAGATAAGCCGAGTCGGGAAATTTGTCCGAATTCGATTTCGGCGATCGGAAAGTAGCATGAAAATCGGATGGTAGCGTATCACTCAAAACTCCCATCGATTCTAAATTAGATCGAGATCAATTATCAAATCCTTAAGATCCATTAGAAAATAGAAAAGGAGTTTAGCAATGTAGCTCGCCAACTAATCATTTTAGGAATCTAGCTCATCAACTAATCATTTGTTCAAGAAAAGGACGAAGCTCTCAGTCGAAGGTCCCCTGAAATGCTTTCATCTGTAGATTCCGATAAAGTAATTGGGACGCTGTAGAGCGCGAAGATGCGTTGGTCGTGAAGGGCAAAGTCCAAGCCCTTCTTTTTTGATTGTTGCTTCTCCAAGGCCTGGTGTTTTGTTTGAATGAACAAGCCTGTCGGGAGTGGGATAAGGTTTCGAGATCAACTGGTTAAGCGACAGATGGAACTACCGAAGAAAGTTTCTCAGCTGATGCAGTAATAGGTTTTGAGTTGGTGATCTTTAAGGTCCAAGCGAGTCTTATCAATTTGTTTGAGCTTGAATCTGTTCGTAGAGAGGCGGTATTGGGCTAGCGGTAATGGTTCTAGCAGAGAGAGGCGTGCCGAGAGAAGGGCAGCATTTAGGAGTCATCGATCTCACAAACTATCAATTTCATAAGAGAAGACGGATCAAATTGAATAATCGAAGAGAGAAGGGACCCTAGCTACGAGTCAGTCCCTCTCCAGTAAGTAGAGTTACTAAAGTCCCTCTGACGTCGAATGATCTACTTGCTTGTACTTATCTTTGTCGAGATTCAGTTGGTCTTCAGTCTACCATTCCGTGGGTATAAGATCGAAAAGAATGCATTCCAAGTGAGATGTTCAAGATCAAAGAGGGAAAGAATCGACGAGGAATCAATCAGATAGAAGAAGAAGTGAATGACAAAGCGTGAGGAGAATTCTCAACCCAAGATGTTAGAAGGTGCAAAATCAATAGGTGCCGGAGCTGCTACAATTGCTTCAGCGGGAGCTGCTATCGGTATTGGAAACGTCTTCAGTTCTTTGATCCATTCTGTGGCGCGTAATCCATCATTGGCCAAGCAATCATTTGGTTATGCCATTTTGGGCTTTGCTCTAACCGAAGCTATTGCATTGTTTGCCCCAATGATGGCCTTTTTGATCTTATTCGTATTCTGATCGAAGAAAGAAGGTTTCCATTCAGTCTCATAGAATGGGAGGCGGGCTCGTCCCCGAAAATGCCCGTTAAGAAAAAAGTTGGGGAGCAAAATCTTCCAATTGATTCAAAAAATTGGTCAAAAGTGCTGTGGTAGTGCGCACGAGGGTAGTGGTTCCGTCACATATTGTTATAACGATTGCTGTAATATAATCATTTTGAGTTATAAAGGTCACGAGGTGTAGCGCAGTCTGGTCAGCGCATCTGTTTTGGGTACAGAGGGCCATAGGTTCGAATCCTGTCACCTTGATGTCTTCGCTATGCCGCTCCGCCCGCCACAGCATATATATCAAAAAGAGGGAAGAAAGAACAACCGTTTGACTTTGGCACATGAGGTGGCGGGTTTGGCTAGGTAACATAATGGCAATGTATCGGACTGCAAATCCTGGAATGACGGTTCGACCCCGTCCTTGGCCTCTCCTTTTAGTCGAGTTACTAAAGTACCTCGGGGAGCGGCGAGCAGCACTCCACCTTAATGAATCAAATGGCATAAGGTTTCTTTGTTAGAAATCCACAGACAACATACTAGAACTTCCAATCAAAACCAAAGAAATGCAACATGAGAAAGAGCTTTTTACGTTACGCTTCAATAGAATGAACGAAGTAAGGGGTTCCTCCGCTTCGCCATGCAATCCCAGGAATCAGACTGGAAGCTACCAACTGATCCCACCATGCCTAGGAATTCCCATCGAACGGAGAGAGATAGATTCAACAGAGGGGTTCTTCCAGCTTCGCTGAAGAAGCTAGGTTCCTCCGCCCCATGGTTGATCGAAGGTCCTATGCCACTGAAACTCAAATCTATCTGACCTTCAATCCATCTTTGTCCCGCTCCATCTC